TTCTTATTTGCAACATAGTACATAGTTGCTTAGAGTTGCAGCTGAGAGGCCGGCAGCGGCAGGAGGGGAACGTTGGAGTTCGCCATCACTGGAGCAAGCAAGCCTCCCTGTTCGCTTCAGTGCATGGCTGCCGGCCGCCATCTTGGCTGACAGTTAATTTGCATATCGCCCTGATTAGCCAATGGGAAGGGTAGCGGTCGTACACTAATTGCCATGTTTCTCTTTTATATTAGTGTAGATGTCCTTGTCTGTAAATACACAGTGAAGTACTTCAGGAAGATGGAGCTTCATGTCAGCAACTTACTCTAAAAATTATCGTGGGTAAAACATTTTATGTATCATACTGGCAACTTCCCTATAAGTGTAGAGTTGTTTTAAAATTAAGAAAGGAAACTAGAGGAGAAGGGGGTGGGGGACAGTGGATACAATGCTGAATCAGGTGCCTGCATCCCATTATAGTGTCATTCCTGGGTGGAATGCTCCTGCTACAGATGCTGTTGGTGCAATTTCTTCATAAAGGTTAATAGTAGCAGCACCCCCAATTTCCACACCATGTTCAAAGGTGAAATTGATTATTCACTGTACATTACATCTAGATTGGAGACTTGGAATTAGTCTAAACATAAAACAATGAAATGGATTTAATTTTGGAGTTTGGTTTGGTTTTGAATATAAGTGCTTGCATGAAAAATAAAACATTATAATGCATCATGTTCCTGAAAATAATGTGGTTACATTTTAAATGCCCACTATTAAAGGTAATTATTATTAACACAGTCTTACATTTGCCCGCTCTGACCTGGAAGCTAAAATGAATTGTGACTAATGGCCCAGCTGGTGTTCCCAAATTATAGCAAAGATTGGATCTCACCCATTTCTGTGAATGAATTCTTGCCAGACACCTGAGATCTTACCCCAAATCACACTCCAAGGGATTCTTGAAATCAGATTTTAAAAAACCCTGCTGTTCTATAACCGTTACCTTGGTATGCCTGCAAAGTGCAATCTTTTATTTGGAAACATTCCCTTGAATTCTGTTGTTTCTACCTGAAGAGAGAAAATTGAAAAAGTAACTCCATGTCTGTGTATGAAGACTTTGAACTGAGCACAGGATACAGTTTACCCATGTAACGAGCAACCAGGTGATTGTGAAGTCATTCGTCACCATACTGGGCCATTCCAGTCACCAGAAAGCCAAGGGGATATTTAGCTGAAAGGATTTGGGTTGATATGTCTCTTTCAATTTTTGGTGAAATTATTTAAAGCTGCCAGACATTCTGGAATGTTTGAACAGAAAAGCTGTGTGCATGTTGTCATTTGAATCAAAGCTCCCTCCCTTTTATGAAGACTTCACAGCTTTAAGAATGTCCTGGTGCCTGGCTGGCATGGCTCAGTGGTTGAAAGTTGACCTATAAACCAGGAGGTCACAGTTGGATTCCCGGTCAGGGCACATTCCGGGTTGCAGCAGGCTCGATCCCCACGGTGGGGCGTGCAGGAGGCAGCCGATCAATGCTCTCTTATCTTTGATGTTTCTATCTCTCTCTCCCTCTCCCTTCCTCTCTGATATCAGTAAAAATGTCGTGGCAATGGCTGAAAGAGACCTGGTTGTTTTAACCAGTCGACAAGACAGTGATTGCTAAAACATCAGACTGCACGGCCTCATTCGTAACAATCAAGTTAAACACTGGATTCCATGGCATTACTTAGGACTGTCTTTGGTGCCCTGTCAATGCTCTATCCTGAACGCAAACCTAGAATCAGGTAGTAGCAACTTTTCTGCAGGAACTGGACAAGAGCAGATTTTTCAACTCATCTTTTGTCTAGACTGGACTATGATGGAATTTGAGGAAGAAAATTTTTTTCCATTTTACCTGAAAATGTATTAAGCCTCAAATAGATGTTTGCAAAATACTTTCAAGGAACAAATGCAATAAAAGTGATCAATATAATTATTAAAAAGTTATAACACAATCATTTAAATGAATCATTTGAAAGGTCTTCATTAAACTTGATTGGATATTATGTTTGTTA